CTTTCAAGAAGAGAGAAAACACTTCTTTTTGGTTCTCTCCAATATCAGTCTGTAGAAAATATGATGGATATCCTTGTGCAACATTCTTTGATCCCACCTGTTTAACTTTAATGTTAACTTTCCACCAAGGTCCAACAAATGGAAAACGTCCAACCACAGCATATTTCTTCTGGGATGTTTCCTCCTGTATAATAACTGAAAATAATAATAATAAATTACAAATAGTAAGACTAAAAAAACTGTGATTTTAAATTTAACTACATTTTACAAAACAAATTCACTAGGTCAACAAGTTTAGAAATAGTTTTAACTTTATAATTTTGACAGATGTCCATAATTTCATTCCAGATCATACTAATCATCCTGGTTTTCCCCAATTTAAAAAAGAATAAAAATCGTAATTTCTCCCATTAAAACCCTCAAATCTGGGATAAATTAAAAGGCCCCTTGCCCCCCACCCCCCCAGCCTCCCTCCAGGCCTGCTGGTGCCCCCTACTCCCCTGCCACAACCCCCTGGCCCTGCTCGTGCCCCTCACTCCCTGCCCCCGCCCCAACCCCCTGCCGGAAAGAGCCCCCAGCTACCAGGGGCTATGGGGTCAGGGACCTGGGTCCACAGCCCACTGCTCCCGGTGGTAGCAGCAAAGCAGAACCTAGCTCCCCCCCACCCCTGCTGCCTGCCTACTGCAGGCTCTGATGGGGGGGGGCAACTCCCTGCTGCTGTGCACTCCCAGGAGGGCAGGGGGGACCTGTGCCCCCCAGATCTGTATATAGGGTGGGTATGGGCTGCATGCTGTGGGCTCAGGCTCCCCCCTGCTGCCCTCTCCCAGGGCCTCTGCAGCCCAGCAGGTGTGACCCGGCACTGCAGGGCAGAGCGGAGCCATGCAGGAAAGCTGCTTGCCGCTGCGAGCTCTGTGCTGTCTTTGCGTCCCCTTTGTGTGGGGCTAAATTAAGCGGCACAACCCTGTGCCACCGCCCCCAATGCTGATGCATGTGGTCAGGGCAGTGTAGAGCTCACAGCGGCAAGGAGCTTTCCTGCGCAGCGCTGCTTAGCCCTGCAGTGCTGGGTCGCACCCACCAGGCTGCAGAGGCCCTAGGGCCTGCGCCCACCCTGTGCACACAGCTGGACAGCATGGGTTCCCCATCCCCCAGGAATACACACAGCAACAGGAAGCCAGCCCATCCCCTGCTGCCCTGGACAAGCTGCCCGCAGCCCTGCCGCCACGCATTATGGCCCCGGGCCCTAAGCCCCACGCACTGCCAAGCTGGGGCAGAGCTGAGGCTGCTGCCAAGTCCCTCCCTCCATTCCCACCTCCCCCCAACTCATCCTGCAGGAGCTGCTCTTCAGGCTGTCTGGCAGCCATGTGTATGCATGAGTGCACACGTGCACGTGGCACCCCCTGCCGGACAGCCCTCCTCCTGCTCCCTCCCAGCCCCCTACAGGCTGGAACTCTGCCAATCTGCAAAGAGCTCTTTGCAAAACAATAAAATCCAGTTTCCTTTGGCAAAGGGGAAAATCAGTGCTTTTCTCCATTTTTCCATTCTGAAATGGAAAACCCAGAACCCTGCTAATCGCCTATCTGGAGTCAAAATGGTTATTTTTGCTGATATTTTTAACAGTTTCTTTGCCTCTGTTTTCCTGAACAGGGACCGGGATATCCCACGTACCAGAGGTAGGGACAATCTTGGGGATAGCTCTATCAAGCCTTTAGTCAGTACAGATGTAGTGCGGGATATTCTGGAAGGACTAGACATTTTTAAATCTGCAGGTCCAGATGCCCTCCACCCAAGGGTGTTGAGGGAGCTGGCAGGGGTCATCGCGGAGCCTTTGTCCCGGCTGTATGAGCATTCGTGGTCATCTGGCCAGGTGCCGGGGGATTGGAAACTGGCTAATGTGGTCCCTATTTTTAAGTAGGGGAGGAAGGAGGACCCAAGTAATTATAGGCCTGTAAGCCTCACCTCGGTGCTCGGGAAGCTTTTGGAGAGGATCATCAAGGAGCATATCTGTGGGGGGCCTGCAGGGGAGATCATGCTCAGAGGCAATCAGCATGGCTTCACCAAAGGCAGGGACTTGGAGAAGTTGGGCCTTCAAATGAGAGAGGGAGAAATCAGAATGCTAGGGATCCCAATGGATGCTGAGGGGCAGTGGCGATACATAGGGGGTACATGGGGGTGTACGTGCACCCCCTGAGAGTGCTGGTACACCCCTGTCAGACTGCTCTCCCCACATAGCTGACAGGCAGGGGGGGCAGGTGGGAGTGCCCCCCATGCATTGCCAGCCGGGGAGTGGGAGCGCCGGATGAAGTGTCTTGGATGAAGCGGTGCTCCTGGAAGTGAAGCAGAAGAAGTGGAAATGGTGCTCCTGCAGCCGCTCCTGTGGA